GCCCACGAAGTGAAACAAGAGCGACGGCAACCGTAGTTTTTTTGGCTCTGCATTCAACATCACAAAAAACCCGAGTCAGGGTTGGAGGGTCCGAGGTTGAATTCAAGGTAATTTGCCAGGCTCGGTTTTCCGATCGATTTCCAACCCTCAAGCATATCGCTTTTCCGACGGAAATCCACTCGCCAGGTTTTGTTTTGCGCGAGGTTGAGAGGCAAAACCGAGTCGCGCGTAAGAATGCACGGGCTGTCCTGATTTCCAGCGGATTTCGATCGGAAAAACAGGGAGGGCAGGGGGAACAAGTGATATATTTAGAATGCGTACACTTCGCGTCACACTTGATGAAAACAGTCATTTCTATTCTTATGATTCTTACTTTTAAAAGCTGTTTCTATTCAATAGGTTATCATCCGAGAAATTAATGCAGCAAGCTATTTACATGTTTTTTATGTTTTACAACCGTTTTTAAGGTGGAACTATGTTCTATAAAGGTTTTAGTTTTTTTGTTTTAACGTGCCATGTTGTTGCGAAAGGACAAAAGAAGCAACATCATTCTTGTCAATAGTATACATAGATACATTATATATTTGTTCATGTAGTATACATCACCATCAGCCCCATCAAAGGACTTCACTACATGAACATGGCCTAGAATAGAATCGATAGGGATAACGGTGAATGCGCGGGGGGTGTACAGACCCAAGCGCACACATCCAGTCCTTGGGTCATTGCCCAATTTCCTGTAGTAATCCACGTATGCAAGTTCATGGCGCTGCCCATCTTGGAAACAATGAAACAACAACAGCAGCTTTGCGTAGGCCACAGTCCCCCCCTCACAGCAAACAGCGATGTCTGAAAACCAGGGCCTCTTGTGGCACTCGGGAGTTGCTCTCACAAAATGAGCAACTCTTGAGGCGTTTGATGCATTGGATGCTGGCACTGCCAATGTTGTATGTGTCTGCCACAACACCACACAATAGACATAAGTATATGTACGTGAAAGAGTCGCATGGTAAGAATAGTTGGGAGGGCATAATATGGCGAGAGAGAGAGAGAGAGAGAGAGAGAGAGAGAGAGAGAGAGAGAGAGAGAGAGAGAGAGAGAGAGAGAGAGAGGGAGAGAGAGAGAGAGAGAGAGAGAAAGAGAGAGAGAGAGAGAGAGAGAGAGAGAGAGAGAGAGAGAGAAGAGAGAGAGAGAGAGAGAGAGAGGAGGGGGGGGAGGGGAGAAGGGAAGGGAAGGGGCGAGGGAGAAGGGCAAGAGACAGCAACGCTATCAACACCATCACTACATACTTGAATGGTTGGCGAGGTAATGCCGTAATCTGCAAGGGCATGGCTCAGAGCCCTGTGTGCACGCGGGTGCTGCTGCGACCACCGTGATGCAAAGAATTTGGCCGATGTCGGGTCACTTGCCGGAGAAACAGCAAGTGCTTCTGATTCCCTCGTCAAGACTGGCCGCCCCGAGTCCATTGCCTATGAGTGAGTTTAGAAGGGGAGGGAAATAACCATTCAGGAATGCGAATGGAATGAACTCAACTGTGGCAAGAAGGGTGGGTGAAGGCATGGGAGGGCAGTGATGTTGAGCAAGGCATCAGAGGGTGGAGAGGATGATGATGGCATGGAATGGCATGGAGATTGATGGAGGCGTGGGAAGGGCAGACAGTCACCACCGCTCTCACCTCTCCCCCCATCTGACCCTCTCTCCCCTGCGTGTCCCTCTGCCAGGCAGAGCCACAGCAAGGCAGCCCGCCGTCACCACCGCTCTCACCTCTCCCCCCATCTGACCCTCTCTCCCCTGCGTGTCCCTCTGGCAGGCAGAGCCACAGCAAGGCAGCCTGCAGTCACCACCGCTATCACCTCTCCCCCCATCTGACCCTCTCTCCCCTGCGTGTCCCTCTGGCAGGCAGAGCCACAGCACGGCAGCCTGCAGTCACCACCGCTCTCACCTCTCGCCCCATCTGACACTTTCCTGAACTCCCTTTACCCACTTTACAGCCGTGTCGGGAACGGGCTGGCACGTGGACGACGACACGAAGTGGCCCTTTTCGAGCGAAATCTTTGTTGAGGGAATTTTTGCTGCATTCGTGAGATCGGGCATGGCACTGGGGGTATGGAAGACCCGCCAAATTGCCTTTGCATTGTTCGCTGTAAGTACACGCCCCTTGATTCTGATCATGATTTTTCTAATTCGATCATGTCGAGAATCTAATTGCCATTATCGATCATTGCAGTTGGAATATCCGATCTTGGAGAAGACCGCCGATGGGAAGTTGAGCAGCAAGCCTGACTACAACAGGCCATTGTACGAGGAGAAAGTCAAGTGGTGCCGGAAGTCGGTGGAGCACGCCGTCACCAACCTTGGGGTGAGCTATGATGCTGAGAGGGACGTGTTTGTGTTTGGCAACGGCATCCTCATCGATGCGAGTGACTACGAAGCTGGATTCAAGAAGACGACTGCTGTGCAGCAGTAGCACTGCATGTTTCCTGGATTTGTTGCTTTTATTGACTGAATAATTAATGTTTGTAGACACCTTTTTCTTTAGGTGAAGCAAAAAAACGAATCAGTATTATGCGAAATCGTTCTGTTTTAGCTACGTATTAATAATTATTGGTATATAATTCGTAGGAAATAAAACCGTATGTGGCAACGTTTACATTTATCCGTGTTGTGACAGTACTGTACAATATTTTTATCGTATTTATTGCTAGGTAATATGGTTTCGACCAACGCGCGATTGTGATGGAAATCCGCCGGAAAACATAACGGCTTTCCATCAGAAATCATCCAGTCTCTTCGGGATGGAAAACCAACGGAAAATACAGTGACGATGCCACTGCGTCACTCGGTGGAATTCCGTCGGAACAAGTTGAACGTGTTCCGATGGATTTCCATTGGTTGGGCAGGAAACCCCACCAAAACCGCCTGTTTTCAGGCCGTGTTTTTTGTGATGAACGCCGTAGAAGTGACTTGAAAAAGTCAATTGAAACGCGTGGTATGAAACGTGAAACTAATGTCAGCAGGAGTGCATAACGGCATGAGCTTATGAGGAATCTAAGCTGGGAAAATAGGTTTGAAAAGGAATGGACAGAAGACATACGGAGGTGAGGGCGGTCTTGATCTGGTAGGATATAATCTGGTGCGCAATGGTCGAAGGCGGTGGAAGTCAAAGCCCTCAACAAGCCCAGTTTCTTGCATGTATGCAACGCAATTTCTCTGCTTGGCTGCCAGAGGCCTTGAAACGTCACATTCGTGACGTTAGTTTCCCGACCTCCCCATTCGGCCCTGGAGGGTGGGTCGCGACATCCGTGACTGGTGCGTCGAGTTACCCTAGCGTTTCGAAATCGAATTGGCGTGGGGTGGCGTGGCGTACCAGCAGGGCGCGTTGAGCTTCCGAAAATCTCGCCAGCGCTGCGACCGAGGTGAATCGCAGCGACTGACCCTGTTGACGAACATGAACCTCGCAATAACGGAACTCAAAGAACTCATTTTCAGTGAGCCCTACATAAAAATACTCCATAAAGAAAGACAATAAAAAAAATATGCTCATACTCATTGACAGTGAGCCATACTCATTAACAGTAAGACCTACTGACATGCTATTTCACATACCGTAAAGAAGACAATCTCAAAAAAGTATGCTCTTGCATTAACAGCACTGAACGAACGATAATGACCACTAAAAATATTGTGTCCCTTTGGGTATTGTGTCAAAGCTAGGGGCTTAGCTTAGGAACCATACTTGGGCGTAGGAGCAAGACTTAGAAGATGGTATCGAGAGGTTTGGCAAAAGGAAGGGGTTGCACTGGAAAGGATGCTACAAGATATAGGCAAGGCAAAGGGTACACCACCAGCAGTTGATATAACTAACCTAACTATAACATATTGGCACAGGTCACAGGTTAGGTGCAGAGCATTGCGCCTACATCCGGCGCTTACGGTAAGCACCCAAGTGTGCAACACGGTGTAGCTGAGTGAACACTCAAAGAGCAGCAGAGCGGGCCACCTGTCTGAGCAGCAGAGGCACGAGCTGGATGTGCGCTGCTTCTCCCACGTGGCAGTACACCTGCAGGCCTATCGTCGAGTCTGCGTGCTCTCCTCCCCCTTGCACCTCCGCCGTTCTCACACCATCTGTCTCCCTACCTCCATCTCTCCCACCCACCATTCCCTCCGATGTGCTATTGCCCCCGCCGCCCCCTCGCCACTCACCGCTGCTAGCATCCACAGGGTCAGTGAGCTTTCCCTGGGTGGGGTGGTGTGGCAGCATGTGCCACCAGTCACTCACACTGCCGCACAGCCGACCACCCCTCCAACAGAAGCACGTGAGTGACCATTCCCCCTCGCCCCCCACCACGCTCCCTTCCTCTTCCACCTCTCCTCCCCGCTCTCTTCCATCCACTTCCTCCCCTTCCCCCTCCTCCCCTCTCTCCACACTCACTTCCAGCCCACACAGCGGGAGGCATGCAGCCATGCCGAGTCCTGATTGGTCAACGGCAAGGAGGTGGGTGGCAGTGAGGAGGAGCAGCGGGCGGCGGAGCAGCAAAGGGGGGATGTCAGTGCTGGTGGTGGTGATGACTGCTGTGCTGGCGTCCACGTGTGTGATGTAGCTGGGGAAGGGAAGCATGGGGGCATGCGGGAAGGCACAGGCAGAAATGACGCAGGCAGTTTAAACATGGGCAAAGGGTGCAGAATGAGCGGTGGTTGGTGAGAGCGCTGGCCAGCGATTCCGGGGATGACAGGGGGCAGCGAACAACATGCAAGGGCTAAGGCAGCAGCGAGTGTGCAGGTGTGATGGCGACATCATGCAGACAGCTGTTTCACTATCATGGCATGTCATGGCATGTCATGGCATGTCATGGCCTGTCATGGCCTGTCATGGCATGTCATGGCATGTCATGGCATGTCATGGCCTGTCATGGCATGTCATGGCATGTCATGACATGTCATGGCATGTCTTGGCCCATGGCACCAGCACCACCACGAGTTCAGCCAGCTGGAAGGAGAACTCACAATGCTTGGGGGCGCGGTGGCCACAGGGGAGGCATGAAGCGGCTGGCAGCACAGCGCACGCCCCTCTGCTGCACCTGCCACAGCAACGACGCCTGCCGCGCCTCGCCCTCCCTGCATCGCCCCTCCCCGCCAGCAGCGCTGCCATCCCTGCTGCCCCCCGTGCTGCCCGCCTCCCCAGTGCAGGTGCCAGGCATGCCACCATGGTCTTCCCTGCCCTGCGCAGCAAGTGGCACTGCTGCCCCCTCCGCCTCTGCGCCATGTGCGCCTGTCGCACGGCCAACAGAACCAGCCCCCATGGACTCCGTCGTATCCTTCGCTGCAGCCTGCCCGTGCTGCCGCCTCTCCTCCTCCTCCCTGCCCCCACTCTCACTGTGGCCCCACCTGCCTGTGCCTTGATAACTGCTTTCTGTCAGGTGCTCCTGCTCATGTGCATGCTCATGCTGTGAATGGCGATGGCAGTGGCGGTAGTGGTGGGGAAGGCGGGGCCTGTGCGCCAATGAGAGTGTCAGTCGCACACGGCGGTGGTGCCCCACAGCCAGCCCCATGCCGCCATGCACGCCACCGCCTCCACCACTACTGCCAGTAGCAGCCGCACCGCCACCTGTTGCTCCACCATGCTGGTTACCACTGCCACCAGCCGCACCCCTGCTGATCCCACCCGCACCACTAGTACCGCTTCTATGGGCCCCCTGTCCTACCCGTCCCCTGCTCCGTCCTCCCCCCTCCACCCCTCCCCCTCCTCCTCCAAGATACGCCCGCCTGACAAGCCTGCCAACGCTGGAGGAGAAGCCAGAGAGCGACGCCACGGTCCACTGCGACACGTGGCGCCATGCTGCCAGTCCCCCGCGCCCCACGCCCAGCAGCAGCCCATGCGGCCCCGCGTGCAGCGAGCCCTGCACCGGCAGCACTAGCAGGTCGCGGCACGCGGCGCGCACGCTGTGGAGCAGACCCAGCGGGTTGAGCAGCAGGTGGTGCGACGCGATGACGCGCGGCACACACAGCAGCCCCTCCGTTATGTAGTGCGCCAGCATGGTGCGCATGAGGGCCGCTCGTGGGCACAGCAGAGACGGGAGATGGAGTGGCGCGAGCGTGAGCGGTGTGGCGGTGGTGTCTAGAGGGAGAGGGGAGGAGATGCGGAGAGTGAGGGAGAGAGTGAGCGGGGAGATGCGGCAGAGGCCGAGGAAGATAGAGGGAGTGGTGGCGAGGGCGATGTCAGGCAGGCGGGGGGGCGGGGCGGAGAGGAGGTGGTGCAGGGCGAACAGGCGGATAAGGGCCGCGTCTGATGAGAGCAGCGAACAGGGCAGCACAGGGCGCGTGCCTGTGGAGCCTTGTGTGCTGCCTTGCACACCTGATTGGCTTTCACTGTCTGTTCCTTGCATGTGGATCTGCCACGTGGCATCATCTGATTGGCTGCTGCTCTGTATGAAGGCAAGGGCGATGGGCATGTAGTGGGTGAGGGCGGAGAGCAGGCAGTCATCAGCGCATGCATCCACGTGCCCCACGCTGGCACGCACCGCCTCCACACCTGTCACATAGCTCACCCGCTCCACTCCATAGCTGCCCTCCACGCCCTCATCTCCTGTCAACTGCTGCGATGGGTGCTGTGACAACACGATTTCTACCTGTATAGCCGGCGGCTCCTCCTTCCCCCTCTCCTTTCCATGCCCTGCTGCTGCCATCTGCTTCTCTCCTTCGCCCCGCACTGGTCTGCCCCCTCCTCTCTCGTTGTCTCCTCTACCTCCCGCCTCACCCTTCCCACCAGCTGCTGAGCCCGTGGTGAGGGGGGGAGAGGAAGGGCGGACGTGGAGGAGGAGAGGGAGGAGCGCGCCAGGCAGCAGGTTGTGCACCTGCACTGACCCCACACCGCACTGCACCGCATACACCACCCCCACTGCTGCTGGCGCTGGTGGTGAGGGATGTATGTGCATGCCACGTGGCATGCTGTGACTGGCTGCTGCGCTGTGAGCCCCAATACAGAGCAGGGAGAGGGAGCGCGGAGGGAGGAGGGAGAGCGAGGCGTGCAGGGAGGAGAGGGACACGAGGCAAATGGCTTTGGCGTCACAGAACAGACTGTCACTCCCATTCCTGTCACTCTCATTACTGTCCTTCTCATTATTGTCACTCTCGTTATTGTCTCTCCCACTGGTATCATTTGCCTTGTTCCCAAGCAGGTGGGGCGAGGAGGCAGGGCGGCGCAGGTCATCCCACAGGACGAGGTGGAGGGAGGGCAGGGCGAGGGAGAGCGTGTGCGAGCGCAGGAGGAGGTAGGCGGTGGGGTGAGGCGTGGGGGGAGTGAGGGGGGTGGAAGGCAAGACGGGAGAATTGGGGGATGTAAGGGAAGGAGGCGAGGAGGGCGAGTGGAGTGGGCGAGATGGGGAATGTGTTTGTGTGGTTGGCGTTGGGTGCACATTTTGCAAGTGGCTGGGAGCAAACGCACCCTGCAGCTGCTGCGTTGAGTCAAGCCGCATGTCCTTGGTGGATCCGAGCTCTCGCTGCACACCCACGTGCAGAGCAGCCGGGGGCAGAGGCGCCATGGCAGGGGGCATGGGGCGGCCAGGCAGGGAGAGAGCGAGGGGGCTGGAAGGGCGAGAGGCGGCATGAGCGATGCGGCACACAGCGGTGGCGCCCTCCCTCCACACACACACATGCAGCAGCAGTGAGTGCCCCCTGCCCTCCACCGCCCCCCTGCTGCCGCCACACGGCACGTGCAGCAGCAGCTCCCTCTCGCCCTCCCCTGCTCCCTCCCCTCGCCCCAATGTGATGGGCTCGCTCCACTCCCGCACCCCCTCTAACCGCACGCAGATGGCCCCCCCTGCTGCTCGCCCGCCTGTACTCCCCTGTGCCACGCGCCCATCGGCTGACACGCGCTGAATGTGGGCCATGAGGGCATCGTCCGTCTCCTCGTCCAGATTCAATGCACCGGGTCTTGGTGCATGCGCATGCCTGTGCTTGTGGTGGTGCTGTGAGCGGCCATGCCACTTGCGCTTCTTAATAGGCATCCCCCCCACCACCCCCGCCTGCATCCACTCACTCCCCTCACGCCCTCCCTCGCTTGCCCCACTGCCACTCCAATCACCGCGCCTTGCATCGGCAGCACGACCATTGTCGGCAGCAGCAGCAGCAGAGGCAGCAGAGGAAGAGGAGGCGTGGAGAGGCAGGGCGGCAGCATGGAAGGCAAGTGACCTCCCCGCCCCCACTCGCGCTACAAAAGCCTCCGCCTCATCCGCCACCCCTCTGACGTCCACACACCCACCCGTCCCGTTCTCAATGCGCCACTGCGGCTGCTCATCCACCAGCACCACCAGGTGCGGCTGCCACGTGGCGCCCTCTGATTGGCCGGCGGAGGGCAGGAGGGACGCAGTGAGTAGGGCAGCATGGCAGGTGCCAGAGGGGTCGGGGAGGAGCAGGCGCTGCGAGACAGCAAAGCGGGAGAGAGGCACGGGGGGCGACCACAACAATGGACATGTGGGGGAAGGGCGAGCAGGCAGAGACAGCTCGTCATTGCCACACACTGCTGCTGCTGCTGCTGCCCCCTGCTGCCTTGCCTCAGCAGCACATGCACGTGCCGCCATGCCCAGACGCACTCCTCCTAGTGCTGCCAGCCGCCTATCCCACCCGTCCTCCGCTCCACCTCCTCTCACCCCTTCGCCTCTCGCCTTTCCCCTCCTCTGCCTCTGCTTCTGCTTCTGCCGCAGCTTCGATGCGCCATCAGCACCACCAATGTCACCATCGCTCCCCTCACTGTCCCTCTCACTATCACTCTCACTGCTGCCGCTGCTGCTGCTGCTACTAGTGGAAGCAGAGGAGTCAGCAGGCTGAGAGGGTGAGGAGGCGAGGAGCGGCCGCCAGGGGAAGAGCGTGAGGGGCATGCAGGTGGCTCCGGTGGGACACAGGCCAGCCGACGCAGGCAGGGTGGGCGGGGCGTGGTGCAGCGAGGATGCACGCAGCGCAGGGGGAGGGGCAGGAGGCGAGTCACCGAGGAGGAAGTGGAGGGGGAAGGGCGTGCGGTTGGAGAGCAGGGCTGCAGGCAGCACAGAGAGGTGCGTGGTGTGCGCGGGGAGTGCACAGGTGGGCTGTGAAGGAGCCGTGGCGGTGGGAGCAGAGGGCGGGTGGAGTGATGGGAGGGGTGTGTGGAAGACGGAGAGCAGGCAGTGCAGGTGAGAGGGGCCGTGTGAGCTGAGCGTCACGATGGACACCCGCTCACTGCTGCCCGTGCTCCCCCCCCTCACCCCCTCCGCCTCCCCCGCCCCCCTCACCTGCACTGTAGACGACCACGCCCATCCTCTTGGCTCCCCCTCCCCCTGCCCTCCACTCCCCATCCCCCCGCCGCTCCCCATAGATGCCTCCAACCCTCCTGGCACCCCAAGCCGCACTGACCACCCCCGAGCCTGCCTCCTAGGCTTGGCACCCGGGCCTGATGCAGAAGTCGGTGCGGAACGAGAAGAGGCGGCAGCAGAGGAAGCCGCGGAGAATGCGGCGGGCGCGGAGGAGCGGGAGGGGGAGAGGAGGGCGTGGGAGAGGGCGGGCCAGGCGAAGGGGCGCGAGTGGGAGGGGGGGATGATGAGGTCGGGGCAGGGGGCGTCATGCAGGGCGAGGGCGAGGGGGAAAGGCAGGTGGTTGTGCAGCACTGCCACCGCGTGCAGTGAGAGCAGCAGCGTGGGTAGAGGTGGTGGCAGAGGCGCATGGGCTGGTAGAGCAGTGGCAGCGGCAGCGTGAGCACATGGGTGGTGAGAGGGGCGATAGTGTGATGCCGCAAGCACACAGAGGAGACGCTGCTTTCACAGACGGGCAGGGGAGGGGCGCACGGGAAAGAGAGGGGAGACGAAATGAGAGACACACACAATGGCTTACGGACCTCAGTTGAAGACAAGTGTGTGATGGTGCTAAGGATGCGGTGCAGTGCGGTGAGAAGCAGCAACTGGTGGATGCTCACCTCGCTATTCGCCTGTGGAAGAAACACAGCACGCCGCTGCCCCACAGCTGGGATCGGCGAATCACAACGCGCCACATCAGCGCTGCTCGCCACTTCCTCCTCCCCCCCTGCAGACCAATCAGGGATGTCACCCCGACAGCTGGCAGCGACAGTGACCGATTTCTGGTCGGAGGCAGCAAGGGAGAGCGAGAGGGGCGCGCTCCACAGGGAGGCTTCCGCAGCAGAAGGACGTGCATGCGGGTGGAGCAAGGCAGCAGCACTCCAGCTGCCATTCATGCTGCTGCCATGGCTGCTTGGCGTGTGTGGTGCACCAGTGGTAGGGGGGCTGTGAGGCACGGCCAGCGCCAGGGCACACTCTCCCCACATGCCGCCGCCCAGAGCCACCTCCTCTGCTGCCCCCACTGCCACCTCCGCCTCCCCTCTGTCCCGCCCCTGCTGCTGCTCTTGACGACTCCCTGCCTTCACCTCCTGGTGCCCGCCCTCGCTGCTGCTTGCAGTGAGCGCGCGCTGCAGGGGCAACAGGCGTGCGTGGAGGGGCAGTGGCAGGGCGTTGCAGAGGAAGGCAGCGGGCCAGAGCTGCACACACAGGGGACCCGCCCAGGGATACAGAGACGCTGGGGCGCTGGTGGGAGTCGCGGTGGGGAGTGAGGAGGGAGAGGGAGCTGGGAGGGGGAGGACGGAGGAGGGCAATATGAGGCGCACCCACACACTCTCCTGCCCGTGTGGCAGCGGGGGGAAGGGCGGCCCTGAGACGGGAAGACAGGCATCAGCGGTGAGCAGGAATGTGAGTGAGCAGCCATCACTGCCATCCACCGCTGCTGCCACTTGTGCCTTGTCCACTGCCGCCTTTTCTGATGGTGGTGCCATTTCTCGCCCTCTTCTCCCACCCGCTGCCCCCCCAAGCCCTATTCTTGCGTCACTGCCAGAGGGCAGGCCAAGGTAGCAGGGGGCAACAGCAAGGGGTGCAGACCAGCGCCCCTCCCGTGCCAGGCGGACGCGCACCAGCAGAGGTGCACTGCCCGCCCTGCCAGCACCCATGCCCCTCTGAGGCAGCACCTCGTCCGTCTCTTCTGCTGCCTCCATCGCCCCTCCCTGCACTCCCCGCATCTCCACTCTCTCGGACTCCTTACCCCCGTTCACCTGTACATCCCCTCCCATGCCCCCCCAGCCACCACTCTTCCTACCTGCCACCAGCACGTGCCTCACATGCCCCCTGCCACCCTGCACTCGCCCCTCCACCTGCACTTTGCATGCTTCGCCCTCCCCTCTGCTGCTACTGCTGGGCCCCACTGGCAGCACAACGCCCTGCGTCTCCACTGCCAACCCCTGGCCCGTGTGATTCGATATAAGCACATTGGGTGTGAAGAGCACATGTGCCATGCAGCCACGCTTGGGAGTGACGGTGACCAAAACGGAGGCAGCGAGGTGGGGGTCTCGCAGCACAGGAACAGCGAGGAGGAACGAGTGCCGCCCCCCTGTGTCCACCTCAAAAGGCGCCGACCAATGGGCATTTGCCAGGTCGTCCGTTTCAGCTGGTCCACGTGCAGGCTGCTCACTCCATCTGTCCCCTCCTACGCTCACCCTCTCCCACCTCGTCCCTTCTTTCCCTCCTCCCACACCCTTCTCATCACTCCTCTCTGTCCCCTCTGCCCCATCTCCCTGCCCCTCTGTCCCATCTCCCCGTCCCCTTCGCTCCCATTGGCCAATATGCGCCCGCAGCTGGCACACGGCGCCCAGCACAAGCGAGGGTGGGCGGCGCCAGCTGTAGCCTAGTGAGCAGCCGGGCGGCAGGGAGATGGCCTCTTGGGTGCCGTGCTGGCCCAGGTGGAGAGGCACGGGGCATCGGTTCTCCACCATGTACCCGAACAGGGGGGGAGATGGGGACGTGGGGACGGGCAAAGACCGCGATGCCTGTGACTGCAGACCTCTTGGGCCTTCCGTCTGCACCCCTTCACCTGCCTCTGCTGCACCACCCTCATTCGCCTCGCTCCTCCCCAAAGCCAACCCCTTCCCTTCACTCTCTTGCACCCTCCCATTCCCCTTCATCTCCTCCTGCTCAACCTCACCCTGTTCTTCTGTCCTCTTCCCTGCTTCCCCCATCGCCCGCTCACCTCCGCCCACCTCCACCTGCCCCGTGCCTGCCTGCCCCCCTCGCCCCATCCATGCGAGCAGCAGGCGCTGCAGTGCTCTCAGAGACGGCGCCCTCACATGCACCGTCGCCCCATGCTGCTCGCCGCCCTCGCCCCCACTCCCACTGCTGCCCCCCTTGTCGCCCCCCTTGCTGCCCCTGTCGCCTGACTCACGACCCCTGCCACCGATTCCGGCCTCGCCCGGCCCACTGCCTGCGCTGCGGCTGCCCCATGCATGCCCCCCCGCGTGCACCGCCACGGCCATGCCCAGCGAGGAGGGTGGCGCGTGCAGGTCTAAGGGGTCTTGCGGCGGGCATGGGGCGGGGGGCGAGGAGGGCGGGGAGGGGGCGGAGTGGGAGGAGTGGGTCTGAGGGGGAGAGGAGGGCTGGCGAAGGGGAGAGGCGGGGTGGGGAGGGGAGAAGAGGGAGGAGCGGACGGGGTGGCGGGGGTGGCGGGAGAGCAGCGCGGGCGACCAGAAGGGCTTCCACAGCACGTCCAGTGCAGCGCGCAGGGGGAGCGGCTCCAGCAGTGGCAGCTGTGGGTGGGGACGGGCGAGATGGGAGGGACACGAGGGGTGAGTATGCGGATAGGTCCTGCATAGAGATTTTAATTCAGATGCACCCATGCCATGCATGTGCCAGCCTGTATGCACCCCTTCCCCACGAACCTGAGAGAGGTCGCAGGCATCAACAGCATCGGCGCACACGGTGGCAGCACCATGCACTGCCCACATACGCGTGCTCCACAGGTGCAGACACACGCGCACGCCCTCCCCACCCACCAGCAGCGCCTCCCTCGTGCGCCCCTCGCCCGCATCCACGTCTTCCACCACGCGCACCTCCACCAGCCGCCCGCCGAACCCAATGCGCAGGAACGGCACGAGGGGCGGCGAGGGCAGGCGCGGGCGCGTGTGCGGGCCGGCGCAGGTGGGGTTGATGAGCAGACGGGCGAGCAGCAGTGAGGCGGGCAGCACGTGTGTGTCCAGAGGGGCGTTAATCATGGGGCCTGCGGGCAGGGCGGGGAAGGCACGTGGCGTGCCCTGGGTGGCAGGGGCATGGGGCGAGGCGGCAGCAGTGGTGGCGGCGGCAGTGAAGGTGGCAGCAGCGGGCGAGCCGTACACGGTAGAGAGCAGAGAGAGCGCCCTGGCCAGCGAGGCAGAGGGGGCACATGGGAGTGCAGAGGAGGCGGCATCAGCAACGGGTGCGGTGGGAGCGTGCATGGCAGCGTGAGCGTGGTGGTGGCCCACGGGTGCGGAGGGGTGCATGACGTCAGCGGGGTTGAGTGGCACGAACCACGAGAGCACCCACAGCTCCGCCTCGCCCTCCCCCTCCACCCCCTCTGGCTCCACCACTATGGGCCGCCACGCAGGGCATGCGGGGCAGGTGGCATGGGCGGCGTGCAGCGTGCAGGGCGAGGGGGAGGGCGGGCAGAGCACGGGGGCAGGGCGTCGTGGAAGGCGCGGCGGGCGGGGTCAAAGCGGGCGAGGCGCAGCGCCACGGGAGGCAGGCGCCAGGCCAGGGGGCCGGCAAGCAGAGGCGTTGTGATGACCAGCTGGTGCAGTGCGCGGGGGAAGGGGTAGCTGGGGGGGAGGATGGGCGATGGAGGGAGGGGAGGGGGGGGAGGGGGCGGATTACAAGCTTATGTATCGCTGAGAAAGGACAGCAGGTGAGGAGGGTGAGGGGAGGCATACATTTCAAGAGAAGATTTGTTAAAAGGTACGGCCATGTGACGTTAGGTGGAGAGTTCCCACATGGTTAGATTTGATGTTACTTATAAAGGCTCACTGAGCGAAGGAAGAAAGAAGGAAGAAACGATAGAAAAAGCATGCGAGCCGTGTAGAGCCAGCTCGTGACAGGCCAAATCGGGTCCAAGTTCTTGCTCATGCCATGCCATGCACATACCGCCATGCACATACCAGCATGCACATACCGCCATGCAATCCAGCCGCCCCCGAAGCAGCTGTTGCTGAGCGGCCTGTCTCTGCTGGCCACACCCTCGCCCCACACCACCTGCCCCGCCGCCACCTCCTCCCACCCCGCCACCCCGCCCTGCACCCTCCCCCCCGCCCGGCTGCACTCAAACGCCCCGCTGCGCAGGTCGTCAGTCGGTGCACCCGACACGTCGCCACCGGGCTGCACCACTTGCGCCACCCGCACGGCCCTCGCTGCCGCCCACGCATCCCGCAGCGACCTGGCAAGGCGGATCAGCGGCAGCAGCACCTTGGGGCAGAGGGAGGGAGCGGCGAAGTCCGTGTGTATGGTGAGGCGCATGGGGAAGGGAGTGCCCAGTGCTGTGAGGTGCAGTGCGGTGGTGTGGGCGCGGGTGAGCAGTGTGGGGCTGGAGAGTAGGTCCGTGCTGAGTAGCCGCACGGCCGTGTGGGCCGACTGCAGGTTGACCGTGGGGATGAGGAAGGGCGGCGGGGGGCAGTGCAAAGGGGAGTGTGAGGAGGAGTGTGTGGTGGGTGGCGTGTAAGGGAGGATGATGCGGCCCGGGCAGGAGGCATCGTGGGTGCCTGCGAATCGGCGGATGTCATGCAGTGACGGCACGAGGGAGAGGGTGAGCGTGCACCTCTCTAACTCCACCGACACTCCTGCTCCCCCCGCCACACCCTCCCTCTCCTCCTGCTCCCCCTGCTGCTCGCGCTGCTGCTGCGCGTCCCCCTGCCATGGCGGGTGGGGTTCCGGGTCATCGTGAGCAACGAAGTGAGAGGAGATGGAGAGGCGGGGCAGGCGGGACAGCGCTGAGGGGGACGACACGGAGGCGGCTGGTGGGGAGGATGGGCACGGCTTGTGGGCGCGGGACGTGTCAGAAGTGGTTGGCCCTTCACACCCTTGCGTTGCTTGAAAGGCTTCAAAGGCTGAGAGCAGTGAGATGAGCGCGCCTCCACTCGCCACCTTCACGCCCCACAGCCGTGCCACCGGCACTGACCCTCTGGGCGGTGCGGCACTGCCCTTTCCCCCAGGGGCTGCCTGCTGCTGAGCATGATGCTGCTGTGCCGTGTGTGAGGCGTGGTCGGGGGGCATGCCTGGCGGATGGTGGGTGGCGGAGGAGCAGCCAGCAGCGCCTCTCCCTGTGTGGCGCACAGACGATTGCTGTGGTGGTGGGAGGGGGGTGCGCAGGCGAGGGAGGACGTCGTACAGCGTGGCGATGACCTGCGGGCGGTAGCAGGTGTGGTGGAGGTCAGAACAAGGGCGGATAATTGTGGCTGGTGCAGAGGGAGTGTGGCGTGCAGGGGTTTGATCGGATTGGAGGAGGTTCGGTGAGGTGGAAGGCAAAGGCTTGATGAGAATGAGAACCACGAATGTGGCAGTGAGTGCATCAGCAGAGGTGAGTCACGCGTTTCAAATGCGGCAGCTTTAGCACTGAAGTCACAGGCAGAAGCGAAAGGAAAAAGAGAGAAGAGGCAGCAGCGTGCAGAGAAAACAGCCCACTCACCTCGTGCACGAGCTGGGCATCAGCCGCCACCATCAAGGGCTGCGCCTCCACCTCCACCCACCCGCGCCCCCTCTGCTCCCCCCCGCCCTCCCCCGCCTCGCCCTGCGCCCTGCCTCCCGTTCCCCCCGTGCCGCCACCACACCGTCTCTCCTCCTCCACCACTCTCCACGTCATGCCTGCAGCGGCGCCTGCCACAGAAGCAGGGGGGCTGGCAGGGTGAGCAGGGCAGTGGGGCTCTGAGGGCTGCTTGGGGGGCACGCTAGGCGGGTGTGCTGCTGCAGGGGAGTAGTCGGGTGGAGGAGTGTAGGGGGAGTGGTGAGGGGCGGGGGGGGAAGGCGGTGAGAGGGCAGCGTGCGGCAGGGCGAGCAGAGTGAAGCGCTGCTCCGCCGGCCCTGCGGGGGCAAGCCCTGTCGCTCCCACCCGCGCACCTGCCTGGCGCCTTCCCGCCCTCGCCACCTCCACTGCCACTCGGCCCACCCTGCCATGCGCCACCGCGGGTGCTGCTGCTGCACAAGAGGAACAACCAGGGCGCGAATTGCTTGTGGGCGGCAGGAGCGGGGCTGAAGAGGCAGAGAGGAGGCAGTCTGAAATGGTGGCGTGGAGGTGCGAGGAGGCATGGAGGGCCGTGTGGGCGCCATGGAAGGCAGTGCTGACTGCCGGGGGACTGGCTGCCGCCCACAGGGGCACGGCTGCCGTGCACTCTACCACTCGCATGCTGACATGTGTCACTGCGCTGCTGGCACCACCGCCGTACCTGCTGCTGCTGCCGTTGCCTCTCTCCGTGCCGCCCTGGCTGCCCCGGCTGCCTTGCTGAGTCGCGGCAGTGGTGGCAGGTGGGCGCAGCAGAGGCAGCAGGGAGGCAGTGAGGTGGCGGCGCAGCAGCAGGAGGGTGTCGGCCTGGTGGCGTGACACAGTGACGCCCACCCGCTCCACCTGTTGTGCACACAGGGGGGTAGTGGGGAACGCAGGCAAGCAGGGCGAAAGCGAGGAGAGTGAGAAAAATGGGAATGGGGAAGAATTGGCGCTCAGAGAGGAAGGCTGCACGACAGGCGAGAGGCACTTGGGGATGAGTGGAGGCACGAGATGTCTCCAACTGAAAGCTGTGGAAAGGGAGATAAGAGGCGAGGAATAGCGGAGAGGGAAGCGAGGGCGGATGCAGCACCCACCAGCAGGTCAAGAGCCCGACTGTCATCGCCTGGCCCATCCGTGTGCTCACTGCACTGGCACTTCTGCCCCTGCTCATGCTGGCATTGCTGCTGCTGCTGCTGCTGCTGCCCTGCCTGCTGCACCGCCTGCTCGCACGGCCCTGCCTTTCCCCTCGTCACCGTCACTCCCTCCACCTGCACCAGCGCACCCAGGCCCTCTGAGCCAATCGCAAGCAGCCACATGTCCGCCTGTGTGGTCCCTGCAGCGACTTCACTCTCGTCCACCGCGGCAAGGGGCGTGGGGGCAGGCGAGCAAGGCAGGCACGCCGTGCCCAGGTCCACCCACACCCCCTGTACGCGCACCACAGGGGGCTCTTCCCCACCCCTCTCACACATCTGTGCTCCCATCCCCCCTGTATTGCTGCCACCGCCCCTCTCATCCGCGCATACAGACAGCCCTCTCATGCCCGCCCGCCCCACTGCCACCCACACGCCATGCCCTCCCATGCCCTTCCCCCTCGCCCCAATGCCTGCCCCATCACCCCCACTGCACAACCCCCCACTGTGCGCGCTGCCACTGCCATGGCCTCTTCTCAAGGGGCCTGTCACAATGCTCACGCTGCCCCGCTGCACCACTGCCTGCATCGATTCCACCCCTGCCGCCACCTGTGCTGCTGCCCTTACTCCTCCACCTGCCAGCTCTCCGTTCCCCTCTCCCTCCTCGCTCCCTCCACCTCTCCTGTCTGCTCCCCCCTTCCCACTTGCCCCTGCTCCTCGCCCCTCTCCATTCCACCTGCCTGCACCGCTCTCCACCTCGCCCTGCTGCACTCTCACCGCAGTGGCAGCAGCCAGCAGCGCGTGCAAGTGCACAAGAGGGTCCGCCCACACCACCACCATGACGTCACCCAAGTGCAGCGTGACGTGAGCACCACTTGCAGCAGCGCTGCTGCCAGGGCGGTCATGCTGCGGCGCCGCAGTGTGAGTGGCGGGTGGGCGCTCGGCAGCGCGCACGGGTGGGCGTGGGCGCAGGGATGCGGATAGGGCTGCTGACAAAGGGGGCGACGGCTGTAGGGAGAGGCTGGGGGGGTTGGGGGCAGCAAAGGATGGGCGCATGTGAGGGATGGGTGGGGGATGAGGGACGTGAAAATAAGGTGAGCAGTGCCTGGTATGTATGTAGGTGGTGACATGCAGTGGGTTGACAGACACACAGTGGGCACACAGGGCGAGATGCACCTCGTGTGACATGGCCGTGCACATGCCACACCTGATGGCCCCACACCACACCTGATGGCCCCACACCACACCTGAGAGCATGCAGTGCCTCCACCGATAACGACTCGACGGACAGTGTGAGTGATGTGCGCCGTCCATGCGCCTGCCCTTGCGCCTCCGCCACCACCGCATGCTGCAGCCACGCCTCTCGCTGTGTGGAGATGCCGGGCTCAGAACGGCCGCTGCGCCATCCCACTGCCAGCGCCACGCTGCACGCCCGCACATGGCAGAACGCCCCCACCTGCTGCTGCATGTGCTGCCAGCACCAGGGGGAGTCGCGGGGAGGCTCCGCTGCTGCTGCTGATGATGATGATGCCACGTGGCTCCAGGTCAACATGACATCAGCAGCAGTCTCCAGCATGCGAGCATGCTTAGCCAGGCCGTGCAGCTTGCTTGGTGGCACGGCCGGCATGGCTGCGCATGCTTGCTCTCGTGCACTTGACCCTGCAGCTGTGACTTGTGGCTCTGCTGTTGAAGCCATGGCAGCAGCGCCACCAGCACTGAAGCTCACGTCGTTGAGTGCAGAAGCAGCTATGGCGAGCAGACCAGCAGCGTGAGTGCGAGAGATGTGCAGAGAGAAGGCATCCAGAGTTCCTTCCACCGCACCCTCGCCCTCCTCTCCCGTTACAGACGCATTGCCATGCAGCGCCCCCCTTCCGCCCCATTCGGGCCCGTGTGGCAAGGCGCCTGCCACTGCTGGCGATCCAGTAAAGGGCGCTGCTGCTGCCGCCCCTGGCTGCCCTGGTGGAACTGCCAGTGCTGGTGATGGCGATGTGGAGGGGTGTGGCGAGGGGGCGGCAGCAGCAGCCCACGTGCAGTCGATGCGGAGAGAGGAGGGGTGCAGCAGCGTGGCGGGGCACAGCTGCCATGGGCGGAGGGGAGGGCGCGTGCACGGGAGGTCAGGAATGGGGGGCATGGCGGACAGGGCAAGCCTTGCCCGGCAAGGTGAGGGAATGACAGGGGAGTCACGATTCCACAACAACCCAGCTGTAGCTTTGCAGGCCGGACAGGGCAAGCCTTGCCCGGCAAGGTGAAGGAATGACAGGGGAGTCACGATTCCACAACAACCCAGCTGTAGCTTTGCAGGCCGGACAGGGCAAGCCTTGCCCGGCAAGGTGAGGGAATGACAGGGGAGTCACGATTCCACAACAACCCAGCTGTAGCTTTGCAGGCCGGACAGGGCAAGCCTTGCCCGGCAAGGTGAGGGAATGACAGGGGAGTCACGATTCCACAACAACCCAGCTGTAGCTTTGCAGGCCGGACAGGGCAAGCCTTGCCCGGCAAGGTGAGGGAATGACAGGGGAGTCACGATTCCACAACAACCCAGCTGTAGCTTTGCAGGCCGGACAGGGCAAGCCTTCCCCGGCAAGGTGAGGGAATGACAGGGGAGTCACGATTCCACAACAACCCAGCTGTAGCTTTGCAGGCCGGACAGGGCAAGCCTTGCCCGGCAAGGTGAGGGAATGACAGGGGAGTCACGATTCCACAACAACCCAGCTGTAGCTTTGCAGGCCGGACAGGGCAAGCCTTGCCCGGCAAGGTGAGGGAATGACAGGGGAGTCACGATTCCACAACAACCCAGCTGTAGCTTTGCACGCCTGAGTGGGAGGAGGGGAGACGTGTGAGGGCAGTGGTTGGGAGGCAAGGGGGGAAGGGGGAAAGTACCTGACCATGTTCAATCGAGTGCATGTGTGCATGCACCACCAGCGCCACCCGCGCCCTGCTGCCCTCGCACGCCCTGCCATCCGCCCCCACCCATCTCGCTGGCCTCTTCCACACCACCACTCGCCCCGTGCTCACACTCACACCCTCGCCCTCGCCCTCAACCGAACTTGCTTTCCCCCTCCACCCTGTGCTGCCCCCCTCTGCTGTATTGCCCTTGCCCATCCGCCCTGCTTCCCCCTCCGCATGCTGTTCCTGGTTCTCCTGCTGCTGCTCCTGTTCCTGCAGTTGCATGTGCTCCAAGCTACAGCTGCCCCGCACACACCCACCACCCAAGCGCACACTAACGCCCTCCACATCCACCTCCGCGCTGCTCACACGCGCCACCCGCTGCAACCACCCAGCACCACCTGGGGACGACAGAGAGGGGGCAAGCGGCGTTGAGCAGGCAGCGGGTGGGGCGCTGGGCTCGTCTTGTGTAACCCGCACCTCCCCTTGCACTGCCCCTCCCACATCCCCCCCTCCACCACCACCGCATGTCTGCACGTCCTGCCACCACCGCAGCACAGTGCTGCACATGCCTGGCCAATAGGAGACTGCCACGCGTCCCACGTGCAGGGAGAGGCTGACGTCAGCTGTGAGCCCCAGCGGCCCAGCAGCCTGCGAGGCTTCAAACGCCTCTGCCACTCGCACCCCGCGCCACCACACTCCCTCCACACTCCACCGCTCCTCACACCCCCCCGCTCCTTCGTCTTCCTCACCTGTCTTCCCTCCTCCATGACCCCCGGCACCCCCTGCTGCCCCTCCTCTTCCCACCCCGCCTGCACCCGCATGCTGCTCTCCCCTTGTAGCGGCAGCAGAGTGTGCGGGCAGCACAGCCCCCAGGGGGGCGAGCGAGTGCAGCAGCGGCGCCTGCAGGCTCCCATACGACCCCACCGCGCCCTCCCCTCGCCCCTCTGCTGCTGCTGCTGCCCCTGTCCCGCATGCCTGTTGCCGTGTGTGCAGGCGCAGAAGAGGACGAAGAAAAGACACTTCCACTGCTGCAGGGCCCAAACCACCTGATGGAACATTGGAGCTCACCGTTGCACCTGAAGGGGCACCTGAAGGGGCACCTGAAGTGCTGCGCTCAGGCACTGCCACAGCCAGTGCCACGGCGCCCACCTTCACACTCGCTGCCTGCACCGCCCTGCCCCGCCCCTCCGCCTCCACCAGCATGGCCCCGAGCCTGCATTCTAGCTTCGGTTGGCAGGCTGGGCTGGCAAGGCCCACGTCCAGGCTTGGCAGCGCGGCTGCGTCGTGCCATTCCTCCGCGCTGAGGTCGAGGGCCTCACTGTTGGAGCACACAGATGCGCCGCCACTGCCATCCATGCTGCCGCCACTGCCATCCATGCTGCCGCCACTGCCATCCATGCTGCCGCCCACGCTGTTTACAAGAGACAGCTCAGCGCCCTCTAGCAGTGCAGCCACGGACCAATCAGTGGCTGCCATGTCAAAGTGCACTCCTGCCTCGTACCCCGTGGCCCATTCCCAGATCTCATCACCCTCCAAGCCACCACCCGCTGCTGCTGCAGCAGGACTCACTGACAACGCACTGTGTCCCGTGGCTGCCATGGCAACGCTGCTGCTCTCCTCCTCCTCCTCGTCCTCAAACAGCTGCTGCACCCACCCAATGGCGCGCCCCATGCTGTGAAACAACCCCCCCTTCTGCTGCCCCACCTGCTGCCCCCTCTGCTGCCGCCCATCCATCATTCCCCCGTCCCTCTCCGATGCTGCCTTTTCTCCCTCCTCGCTCGCTGATACCAGGAGCTTCTTAGCAGCTTCTCTTGTCTCACCCATCGCATTCCGGCTGGCATCTGTGTCATCGTCATGCCCACCTCCCTCCTCCCTTCCACTCTCCTTCTTCTCCACCCCCCCTCCAACTGCTTCCCCCGCTCTCTCCGCCCCTACTTCCTGTGGCCCTGTGCCTTCCCCCCATACCTGCCGGCATGAGAGTGCGACACTGAGCAGAGCAGCGAGGTGCGCGGGCGAGGCGGAGAGGGCGAGGGGCAGCAGGCGCAGGGAGAGACAGGCGCGCTGCGGCAGGGCGAGAGCAGCACAGGGCGGGGTGATGGCGATGCGGGAGGTGAGGGACACAGCGGAGAGGAGCGGCACTGGCGGGAAGCGTGGGGAGAGGGGGGGGTGTTGTGGGCGTGGAGGGGGTGGTACCAAACAACAGCGGGAGTGGGTTTGGGAAAAGCGGCACGGGTCAGTGGGGTCATGGGCGAGGGACGTGAGAATGGCGATGAGTGGGTGCATGGTGAGAGCATTGAAACCAAATGGCATGCAATGGCTTAAGGACTTGCCGTAGGTACAGTGGCATACAAGGCGAGCGATGAGTGACAGATGGGGGAGCAGAACGAGGACTAGCGCCTGCATGACAGGAAAATGGCTTGCATGCTGTCATGAGGGCAATGTGCCATAGCCTTGCTCCACGGACCTTGGCTGGCCTGACACGTGGCCTTGTGTGATTGGCTGGATGTACTTGCGACGTCCACAGACAGGCCAGTAACCTCCAGAACTTTCCTCACGCCTTCCTCTGGTGGCTGGGAAGGATGTGAGGAGAGTTGAATGCGTGTGCGTTGCAGGCAAGGCCACAAGGGCACACGGGCACTCGGAGGAGGAGGGGTGCGACACGATGCTGAGCAGATCAGATGCGCGAGGAGGCATGGGAGATGCATTGTGCAATACGTGTTGTGCAGTGCTGTGGGCTATGGGCGGCATGACATGCATGCTGCCATGCTGGCACGCCTGTGCGACTGAAAGCAGCGCAGCAGGGAGAGGGTGGGAGCAGGGCGCACCACAAAGGCAGGGGTCCAGTCAGGTGCAGTGGAGTGGAGGAGGAGCTTATCGCAGCGCAGCAACAGCACAGCAGAGGGCGTGGAGTACTGCAGGAGCACGTCCGTTACAGTCACACTCGCGTTCAGCACGGTGTGCTGCAGGAACGCCCGCAGCCCCCCCAGCGCCAGCAGCTCCGCCAGCTCCTCCCTCACATGCCCCGCCTCGCTGCTGCTGCCACCACCGCTGCCCTGCGATGAGTCTGAGTCAGTGTCGCTGCCACCACAACCACCGCCCTCCTCCTCCTTCCCTCCTCCATCGCCCCCCCTCTCCCATCCTCCGTCGCCCCCCTCACCCTCTTCTCGCCCCATCCTCTGCTGCCCACCACCGCCCCCCTCGCTCTCCCTCACACCATCCTCGCCCCCACACCTCCCGCCGCCCCTCCCCTTCTCCTCCTCGCCCGTCCCCTGCCCTCCATCCCCCTCTCCCCCCGTTGCCCGTTGCACGTGCAGGCGCACGACGTGCAGCGCCAGTGCCACGGGCTGAGAGCCCAGCGCGGCCCAGGGGATGGTCACACGCAGCTCGCCCACCCACGCGCGCCGCACCGCCACGCGCACGTGCGGGGGGACTGGTGGGGGGTGAGCCCGGGGGAGGGGAGTGGAGGGAGGGGCAGGATGGGGAGGGTCGGGGTGGCGGGTTGTCCTGCGTGATGGGATGGTGCTCGCCGCATTAAGAGGGCGGTGTGTGGAGCAGAGAGGGGAGTATACGGGGGTGTGGCACGCTGGCAGTGCCATGCACATAGGGTCGAGGGGAGAGGACTGAGGGGAGAGTTTCAAGTGCGGAAATGGCAAGGCGCCGCTTGCTGCTAGCACCTCTTTTTTCGCCGTCGGTTTTCTGAGTATCCCCCTCTCGCCCTCGACCCATCTCGCCATGAAGCGTTTTTTCCTCACGTCGTGCATCTGCCCCCTCCGTACGCCGCACCTGGCAGGTTGAGCTCGAAGTTGCGGAGCGTGAGGGAGCCGCCCGACAGAGACACGCTCAGGTCGGACGCCGCCGCGCCGTCGGCGTCGCGGATGTACGCGCGGAGCACGCGCAGCACCACCTGCGCCAGGGCGGGCGGCAAAGGGGCGGCAGACAGAGGGAGGGGGGCAGCGGGGAGAGAGGCAGACGGGCGGGAGTTCTGGCCCGCAGAGTGGGGGTGCGCGGAGGGGAGGCGGACGAAAGAGAGAGCCGCAGCGAGGTAGAGGAGCAAGGGAGGTCGGAGGAAGCGGAAAAAGGGTCGACAGTAGCCGATTCGGCGGGGGTGGCTGGTGGGCGATTGCGGGAGAACGAATGACCGGCGTGACTCGTTGAGAGGGGGGAGAGCGCACCTGCGATATGAACGACGACGCCATGGGTAAATTCCACTACAGAGCGCTCCGTTTCAAGCACGTTGGGACGTGAGATCTCGGCAATCGCCGAGTACCGCCCATCAAGGCAGTTTTACTAATCGCGCGGAAAAAAGGTGCGTTCGCGTCGGACAGGTACGGGATGTGGACGTGAGTGCGTGGGGGGCGTGGCAACCGCCATGATCAACGCGGGATAGTGCTGGTGCTGGGCAGACGGAGAGTCATCTGGGACGCGGCGGCACGAGATGAAATCGAAGTTTGAAACGGTGCAGAACGGTGGAAATAACTTTACTGTAAAAAACTTTACTAGTGTCATGACTCCGATGAATGACCGAGCTAGGATTGCACTAGGGCCCTCAGATATCAGCGTAAAACACGCTGATTACGCTGATTTTTTAGCTGTGAATTCCGTTTTCCCTGAAAAATCAGTACCGTATATGCTTTAATTTTGCACTGCAATTTCAGTATTTGTAATTCTGCCACACTGACCATTTTGTGTGTTTCAGAACAAGTAACACTGACAAATCAGTACTCTTCAGTGAGTCACACTGAAACGGACTTGACCGCGTGTGGGGGGGGGGGGGGAGGGGGGGGTACGCCGCGTTTACTGACTGTACCTTCCCGTGATTCACGAAACCCCACCCCACCCACACACTTGGAATCTTTTCACATGCGCTGTACTTACAGCCTGTGCGCGCCGAACCGTTTTGCCTCGCTGGAAGCCATCACACCAGAGTACGATGAACCTAGTTCACAACTGCCCGATGAGAACACAGACAACACACCACTGGTGGCAGGGTCCACACCAATACGCCATAAATTATGGCAGTGGGGTGGGGGTGTTGTCATCTTGCCTGGAAAGATGGAAACCCAGGACCACGATCCCTCGCCATGGCGGCCCCCATCTGCTCCCTCATTATGTTCCTGCACTCATCGTGAACCCCTGCAGGAAGTGACGTTCGAGCTCAAGCAGCAGTAGCTTCCCTCTCAAGCTTGGCACGCTCAGCAGAGCTGAGCAGCCATGGCGGATTCGACGCCCGGAGGTGACAACCCTGAATCCGTCGCAGGCACGAAGCCAGCCGCCCTTACTGGCCTAGACTTCATACGACGAGCTTCAGCTGCTCCCGCGTTAGTCTCGCCATCAGCTCCTACCGTTATTTTCCCTTCCTCGGGTCCCGAGGCACCTACCATCTGGACGCAGGGCGAGTGTTCGACGCATGTCGGCGCTGCAGCATCACCTCCTGTCGCTGCCGCATCAACGCCTGTCGCTGCCGCATCAACTCCTGACGCTGTCGGATCAACTCCTGCCGCTCCCGAACCCACACGGAATTGTCATCCTGTCGCTGCCGGAACTACTCGCGTTGGCCCCCGTCTCAAAAGGGGTATCAAAGTGACGTACTGCCAAACAAAGATCCAGTGGGGTGCCAGTCAAGCTACGCCAACGTCTGGTGTGGGGAACTCCTCCCCGAAGGCCCGACAGCGTAAACAGAAGGGGAAAGCGGTTGAGGTTACCTCCGAAACAGAACTGCCCGACATAGCCGAGGAGAAATACCAGGATGCCTTATTTATGTTCAACAAACAGTGGTCTGACGACTACTCGTGGCTTGTTCTGTGTCAGATGAGTGCAGGGTTCCCACCAATGAAGTGTTCGGTCTGCATTGCGCACGGCGGTGTGGGCACGAACTTCGGGACCAAAGGAGAAGGGGCGACCGATGTGCAGACCCAGGCAATGCGGAAGCATCAGCGCACAAGGAAGCACCGCCGCGCTCTGCACAGACAGAGGACAGCCGAGGCGGCTCTCAAAGCTAACCGCCGGATTGACGACAACCCGAAGGTGAAAGACGTCGAGAAGGAGCGCCTGATCGCGCTATGTGAGACGGCACTCTTCATCGCTAAGTCCGACGCCCCGATCGAGATGTACGTGGACCTCGTCCGACATCTAGCGCAGCGCGGCACACTGGGCTTCCCAAAGAGCAGTTATGGTGCCTACTACGCGACGTAAGTGACACTGCTCAAGTACATATCAGTGCAGATTGTGATCTACGTGAAGCTATCACTAACCACACGCGTTGATGCCCGTGCAGGTACGGATTCGAAGAGATTACCGCCGCAATAGCGACATACCTTCGTGCGCGCCAGCGAGAGTTCATTGATTCGAGTCCATTCATTGGTCTGAGCTGCGACGAGAGTACGGACCGCGTCAAAGGGAAGCACATGATTGTGTTTGTAACCTTTCTGCGTGAGCATGGCGTCACCACAGAGTTCCTGACTAACCTCTCCATCGAGAAGTGTGATGCAGGATATCTTTATGCTAAGCTCACAGTATTCCTTGACAGTATCAGCCTGCTGCTGGAGAAGGTGGCGGGTATCAGCACCGATGGGGCACCTGTGATGATAGGCAACGACACGGGCCTCGTTGGGCGTCTTCGCCTGGAGATCCCGCACGTGGTGGCTTCTCACTGCATCGCACACAGGTAAACTGTGGCTGTGTTGGTGTTGTTGCAGTATGAGATGTGCAACGTGGTATGTCGCAGTGCGAGTTCTAACACCCCCACCTGTGCTTTTGTCCACGTGGCAGGGAAGCGCTGGCTGCAAAGGAGGTGGCTAAGGCACTACAAGAGCTTGGCATAATCGACGCGGTTATCCGCGCAGTGGCGGAAGATCTCGGCAGATCCAACAACTCCAACCGCAAGTTCAAGGAGCTGCAGGAAGTGTTCACTCATACCAACCTCGAGGTCCAGGGGATCCATTTCGTCCGTTGGTTGAGTCGCGGCGATGCAATCGCCCGATTCGTCCGCGTTCTGCCTGCTGTCATCGTTATGCTCGAGGAGACAGACAAGACGATGTACCACCTGGTGACGTCATTCAAGTTTCATTACTTCCTGTTCTTCTTGGCAGATGTGCACACGGCACTCAACGCGCTCAACCTGCTATTCCAGAAGCGTCAGGTGAGTTGTTGAGTTACGTCTTGCAGTTCTCTTCTTCTCCCAGGTACTTATCTTTCCATGTACCAATTCTCCCCCTACCAACAGGTTGACCTCACTGCAGTGCACTCCCACGTGAGGCGGACCATCATCTACATGGAGCAGAGGTACCTAAACTGTGGCCAGCAGTTTGGCGGGACCAGCGAGCTACTGTCTGCATTCCTCGCGCGGCACGCCTCGCCCGACTGCTGTGAAGTGACTATGGATGGGGTGGACAAGGAGGGTCAGCCCCGGGTACACAAGTTCCAGCTGCACGAGGAAGCAGTGAAGGGATACACCACCAGCAGCGGGGACATGCAAGGCTGCTACACCTGCTGCCGCTCATTCGCACGCGAGCTGGTGTACAACCTCGAGCTGCGCTTGGGAGACCTGACGCGGTTGAACGGGGCGAAGCTCTTCATGCCCCGCTCGAGGCCGAGGGGCGTCGAGGCAAGAGACGCAGAGTGCAAGGAGCACCTGCACGGCCTCATCCATCTGTTTCAGGCCAAGAACCGGGACACTCTTGCCTGGTGAGCTAGAAATAGAACCCCCCTGACCTGCATGTATGCATTGCCGTTTCCGTGGTTGCGTTATTCCAATGTTGTGAGCTTGACTTTGTACCCGGTTGTGCTCTCTCGTTTGGCAGGTATCCAGAAGCATGCAGCACGAGCGGAGCTGCGCACGTTCTTGTTGGTGCTCTCCACTGCGCCCAAGGAAGAGCAGCCCTTTCACGCAGGTTTGAAGGCCATCTTGCAGACCAGCGACTGGCAGACCAGCTACCCCAACTTAGACCGTCTGTGGGCTGCGGTCGCTGTTCTGCCGCTCAGCACAGTCGAGTGCGAGCGCGGGTTTTCCCGCCAGAATGTCATCAAGTCGTGGCGCCGGACGAGTCTCTGCAACGCCAAGCTGGGAGATTTGTTGGCAATGAGCCTGCTCGATTACGACATGGAGTGGGAGAAGGTGGTGGACATCTGGCGGAGCACCAGGAAAAAGGCGCCCCAGCAAGCGCAATGAGCAAGCTGCGCCAGAGAAGGAGCGGGCCAAGGCCAAGTTTTTTAAGGGGAGTGGCCGCCGGGTGGTGCAGGTGGAGGAGGAGGAGCTAGACGAGGGCGTGTATGGTTCTGCAGGCGATGGCAGTGAGAGTGATGATGATGCCACTAGCAGTGGTGATGATACGAGCGTTTCTTCTGATGATGACATCACATGAGCTAGTTAGTTAGTGGTAGATTCAGCCAGATCTGGAGGTAATGGTGCTGTCTGTCATAATGATAACTTTGGTTGCATGCATGCACTGTTGCATCAGCTCTGTTTTTTGGGTTTTTTTAACACTGCAGGTTCAGTTTAGTAAGATTTTTTACACTGACAGGATCAGTATAAAGAAAACCACCAACGCTGATTTGGACACCTGGTTGGCAAGGGCACGCTGATCCATCAGCATACCCTCAAACCAATCTGAGGGCCTGATTGCACTATTCAAGCAAACAGTACAATGAGCGAATGCATGAGCGAATTTTTAAATAACAAACTAGCGTGGTAACATTAATGAGTGAATGTGGGGTGCGCTACGTGCCTGGCGTCGAGGTTGGAGTCGTGGGAAAAAAAAAAAAAGATAATTTGACTTAAGCAACTCAAAAGTTCGATATTATAGCAATATCGCAGTAGCTCTATATCTGTGTGTTATTGTAGCAAGTTTCTTTTCGCATAAGTTACAGGAAGTAGTGCGAACAGTCTAGTGACTGCTCGCATGACATAGAAAAGAGAAAAGTGACTCTTCAGGAGTCGACTCGGTAAAAGGTACTTCTCTAGACGATGTATTATTGTATTCGTTCTTTATTATCCGATTCTTCATCTCACCGTTATATCAGTATGAATTCAAGTCTTCCGCTGCAACATATTTTAGAGACTAAACTGTACAAAGATCATAAGGCTATTTACTCAGCCCAACATGGTACGAGAGCAGGAAAGTTTACGATCTTCTAGATTCTACGAATTCTGAGTCATCAAAATCTTTATTAGAGCAAACTTATGACCATGACAGATAGT